TAAACCGCTTAGAGAGGGCTGAAAGCCCTATGAAGCGGTATATAAGTCTAACTATTGCTATTGCTATTTCCCCCCCTTTTTCAGCAAATGGTAACCTGTTGGAAAGGGTGTTTTTTTCTCCCAGTTGATGTAGAATGAAGAGCAACAAAAAGGAATTCACTAATTTCTTGCAGTTCTCTCGTACACGTAGTCCCCTGAAGACAATCTAGAGCAGTGTTTCTCAACCTTGGCAACTTGAAGATGTCCGGATTTCAACTCCCAGAATTCCCCAGCCAGCATTCGCTAGCTGGGGAATTCTGAGAGTTGAAGTCCGGACATCTTCAAGTTGCCAAGGTTGAGAAACACTGATCTAGAGGCTTTGCAAACAATATAGCAAATGTATTGTTTGCAAAGCCTCTTTACATGATGTATAATTACTTAGGTGAGTTTCATTTAGCTTCACTTCCTACACCACCACTTCTCCAATTTTACTTTCAGGAGAGAGAAAAAAAAAAAGGTTTGGAGCAAAGACCATTGAACCGCCAGAGAAAATGTACCGTTTTTCGTTCCCCTTCGTAATTGTAACAGATTGAGTTCACGCAGTGCTAAGCTATGGTTTCACTCAACTAATGTTTAATAAATTGCAGTATCTAAATTTGCATATGCTAAACTATAAAGCGTATTTAGAAACCCCAGGGCAGAAGACTGCTTCAAGAAATATCATTCCCTTAAAGGAAAATCAAGCAAACCTCACTCTTGATATCACATGTCTGGAACGATACAGACATTGATTACAATTTGGATCTCCACATGGCATCCCAGGGTGGTGGTATGCCTGGCAACAGCTCCTAGTACCCATCTGATTTTATTTAACTAAGGAAATACAGTTCATCCCTTGTAGCTCAGGATTGAACTGTGGCGTCCTTGGTGCACGCTGAGATTTATTCATATAAATATATTTTAATTTAGTTGAAAGCTGGCAAGCTCAAGCACAAACCTCATCCTTTCTAGGCTCAAAAAGCATTATTAAAAAATAATGTAGAATTAAAGTAAAGTATGGAAAATAAAAACCGATAAAAGTGGGAAACCTAGATATAATTACGCTGTTACAATAATTGTTGCTACATTTTTTGCAGCTAGCTTCCTCATCTTAAATCGCTTTCAGAAGGGTTACAATCCTGTTGATGAGTTGTTTTCCACTAATTTTGCCTTATATTTTGGGCCAACATGGCTTAGTGTGATTTGTTAATTCATAAACACAGTTAAAAATATATACAACCTATCAGTCTGTGGACTCCAGAAGAAATGAACATCAGAAGTTTTCTTGTAGACTTATGATTAAAATGAGTAGAACGAGTCTATTTACTAGAAGCTGCAAACAAGTTTTATTTTCAATAGATAGCCTCACTAGCATTCATTTTTCAAACAGTCTATCTGATGTGAGTGCATTATATACCAACAATATGCTCTGGCAATGTATCCATATTCTAAACCTAAGGCAACTGATCTGTATTATTGCATTAAAATTCCAAATCAAGTTAAAGTTGACACAAATACCACAGGCATAAATTGCTTCTGCAACAATATTAGATTTGTCTCTTCGGCTGACTTCAAGGGCTTGCAAATAAAAATCCAGAGCTATTTTTAGAAAAAAGCCTGTGATCTTGAAGTTCCAGCAAGTTGCATTAAAGATATACATATACATCATATACATATACATATANTATATATATATTATATATATATATATTATTCTAAACGTCTTTGAATACACAAATATTGTAGTCCACAGTATATATTTAGAACGACTTTCTTAAGCAAAACCACCTTTGCAAATAGGTCACTTAGGTAAAAGCAATTTTTCAAAATCTTGTCTGGAGAACATCAGGTACCTACATTTGTGGGTGCTTAATCTACTATAGTTATGTCAAAACCAAGCACACAATAGTATAAAAATTTGAATACTCGCTTTAATATTTACAATAATCTTTGGTTGCATATTTCCCCCCATTTATAATCTACTGTTGAGCCTGCTTTTTAACCAAACATAATTACACTGGCTCAAGGTTGACTCAGCCTTCCATCCTTCTGAGGTCGGTAAAAGGAGGACCCAGATTGTTGCTGACTCTGTAAACTGCTTAAGAGAGAGCTGTAAAAGCACTGTGAAGTGGTATATAAGTCTAAGTGCCATTGCTACACCAAAACACCATTAAGACAAGATTTTTTTCACCCACAGCTAACTTTCCTAAACTAATTCTGATGTGATAATAGACAGAACCTTCCAACATTAACTTTTTCCAGAAAGACGGATGCAATGGAAAACGACTCAGATCTTTGTCACTGTTCCCTGAGCAACTTTTGATACAAGTAACTGCCATAATCCACATAACTATTCCAGATCACAAGACCTACTTGCTGCAAGGAGCCTACCCAATATCACCTTCAAGTTTCTGATGCAACAGCTGTATGAGCACCACTCACTTCCATTTCATCTCCCTCTACCTTGTAACGGCGGGGCCTAGGCCCACGTCTGCCAGATTCTTGCTTTTGCACATGAGAAGAAAGGGAGAAGCCAGAAATCACAGCCATTTTTCTTAAAAAAAAAAAATGGCACCTAATGGGGAAAAAGGGGCAGGAAAACCCAAGGAAGAGCGACACTAGGCCTCCTGGGGGGAATCGGGGTGCAGTAGCGAGAAAGGGGGACCCCCCCCCTCTTAACAGGGACTCCAAAAACGGTGGGATACAAGTCAGATCTAAATCGAAGCCATCCTCCTGGTATCGCCTTTTGTTCCTGCTGACGATTTCTTTGATGATGGCGGTCATGTCTGGGAGCCGGGAGCCGCTCAGGAACAGCGCGGAGAAGCACGGCGGCGGCTGCAGGGCGCAGATGGCTCGAAGCCTCGGCGGGGGAGGCTGCTCCCCGAACAGTCCCCGCCGCCGGTACGAACGGCGGCTGCTGACCAAACGGCTGACGGGCAAGGACGGCGCAGGGAGGCCGGCACCGTGGACAGGGCCTGGGCCCGGTCGATCCAGCGGCGACTCCCGGGAAGGCCCCGCAGCAGCGGAAAGCGGCGGAGGGGAAGGTCCTCCTGCAGGCTCCGCCACCGGCGCGGCTCCCCGCGGCAAGCAAGATCCCGAGAGCGGCGGCAGAGGCAACGGAGGCGGCGGCGGCGGCGGCGAGGAAGAAACGCGGCCCCGACTCCCTATCGCGCTCCTGTGGCTTTGGGACGAGAAAGAGGAAGCGCCGCTGCCGCCGCCGCCGCCGCCGCCGCCTTCGGGCCGTTCCTTTCCCCCCTCAGTCGGGCAGCGGCGCTCCAGCTGCAACGGTGACAGCAGTTCCGCGGCGGGCAGCCCCCCTGGTCCTCCTCCTCCTTCCCCGGCCCGCTCCGCACCCCGCGCGAACTGGGGGTGCGGGCGGGCGGGCTCCGTCGGATTCACAGGGAGGCGGCCGGCTAGGCGATGAGACTCTATGGCTCGACGCGACGGGCCGCGCGGGCTCCCCTCAGAGAAAGCGCGGCTGGGCCTCAGGTGGTGGTGGTAGCGGCGCGGCGGCCGCGCAAGGACCAAGGCCGCCGCCGCCGCCGCCGCCGAACTCAGGTCCTGAGGAGGGCTCGAGGCTGGCGGCAGGAGCCGCCGCGGGTCATTGTTGCTCCGTCCGCCGGTGGTTCGGGGTTTCCGCGATCCGCTGAGGTGAGGTGGAGGGGGGGGGGCGCCTTGCCAAGAGCCCCTTTTTCCACCCGTTAGGGCTGCGGCTCCCGAGTCTTTTCCCCCGCGACCAACAACCGCCTGAGGAGCTTCAAACTCCCATCATGGCTGCAGCTTCCGAAGCGGAGAAGGGAAGCGGGAGGGAGAGGGAGGAGAAGGGAGCCCAGCTACCGAAAGGAGGGGAGAGACAGACGGACGGACGGACGGCCCAGGCGGAGGAGGGGGGTGGCCAGCCACTCCGCCCTTCCTAGCTCCTTCCGCTGCCGCCGCCGACGAAAAAAGTAGTCCCGCACCGCCACATCACCGCCGCGCCGAGTGATTCGCTGGTTTCCCGGACGGCTCCTTTCTGTCCCTCCTCCTTTGCCCCCCACCAAAAAAAAAAAACCCTGCACGGGAAGCGCCCGGTTCGTTCTTTGGGGGGAGGGGGGGGGGGGGGAGAGGCCG